ACAGAAAACGAAACGAACGTTCGTACGAACGCTACCGAATTTCGGAAATGGAAATTCGGATTCGTTTGCATTCGTTATGTCTGTAATTCGGAATTCGGTTACATCGATTCGGAACGAAACGAATCGCACATGTCTATTTAAGTGTAAGATCCCCACAGAAAAATGGAGAGAAGAGTGCATAATGCCTGTGATGGCCCTCGTTTTTATCCAAGTCTTCGTATAGTAATAGTTTTTATTATTCATTTATAGCCTTATTAGTAACTCACTCACCTCAATCCAGTCACATGGAATGTCTCATGAATGACACATTGAAGATGTTGATTGTCCTAGTACATGATGAGCATTGTAAAGGTTTGTGAAACCATCCTGTTGTAATTACATAATCCAATACGAAGATGCATTGACAGGTTTTAAATATTTGAGTTACATTGCTGCAGATTAGAAAATGCCATTATATGTGGGTGACCAATGGTGGGGAAGCATCCATTGCTGTTAAAGGATGGCTGTTCCAGTTTGATGTAGACCGTCTTTTATTCCTCTTGTGCATATCATTCTCTTCAATAGAGTGTCCCTTTTCCTTAATGTGTAAGATGACTTCTAAGTCCATGTAGTTGTCATTGTGGATATAAATAAATGCTGGAATATGTTCCTGACAGTCATTAAACCTGAAGAAATTGCTTTGATAAGCAGTATAATGTCTTCAACATTACAGAACAAGTCTAGTTAAATGTGAATAACTATTAGTTATTCACATTTATTGCATATTGTGCTTTTCCCTGACATTCTTCAGTCTTCATTTGAGTGTTTTTTCTTTCCAGTTTTTTTGCAACCTTTTTCTTATTACTGGCAAAAGGTTTTTGTTAAATCATCATCTTCGTCTTTTACTCATTCTGATTTTTCTGCTTATGTTAAAACAAATATCTAATAGAATTTAGTTGGTTGCTATGGACATTTTCACTAGCTGTAACCTCTTACCAGCCTAAGAGCTCTGTCTTAGTGATGTACGTCTGATTAGGATGTGGGTCTGTTCCAAAACTTTAAGGAAACAGCAAAATGCACAGTTAAAATCCATACAGGATTACTTTTTTTTACCTGTCAAATAATTTGTAATTCAGAACTGATTTTTTGACAAACATACATTTTCCACACTTTACAACCAGACAGGTAAATAAATATTCCACTGTGCCATGCAGAGCGCTGCATGTCTCCTTTTCACATCCTTTGTGTAGCATGACTGTGGGTTCAAACATCAAAAAGTATTAGCTGGAGCCCAGAAACCGCTGCCTATAACAGAGGTGTGTGTGTGTGGTGCTAAGCACATGCATTCCAAGGGTGACGAGGCTGCTTGGGGAGCTGCTTGGGCAGCATTGTCATCCTAATACAGGAAGTGGCAATAGAGCCTGTAACTGAAAGGATCCACAGGTTGGAAAATAATATAGTAACCACTTGAAGACCATGGTGTTTCACCCCCTTCCAGGCCATTTTTCAGTATTCAGCGCTGCGGTACTTTGACTGACATTTATTCCATCATGCAACGCTGTACTGATACGAATTTCATACCATTTTTTGGGGACACATAGAGCTTTCTTTTGGTGGTATTTATTCACCACTGGAGTTTTTATTTTCTACTATATAACAAAAAAAGTACCCTAAATTTTGAAAAAAATCATGTTTCCCTATAAAATGTTATGAAACATTTATTTTCACCCCAATTTTTTGGTATAATATAAAAGACGGGGTCACGTCGGGTAAATAGACACTAAACATGTCAACCTTTAAAATTGCGCATGCCTGCGAAATTGCAGAAAACGACCGCGACCAAAATTGGCCATAGGCGACGCTTCAAACGTTTTTACCGCTCATCAGTTTAGTGTTATCAGTGATTGATGGCCCTAGAATTAGTGCTCTCACTCCGACGTTCGCGGCGATATGTAACATGTGCTGCATAATGGGCGCAATCGTCGCTTGCGTGTGTATGTGGGGGGGCGGGGGACTTTAAAAAAAATGTTGTGTTATTTTTTTTAATTATTATTTGTGAATATTTTTTTTAGCTTCTCTATTTTTTTTAATGGTGTAATTTTTTTTAAAAACTTTTTTTTTTAGACTTAACTTTACTGCTATAACATAGGGGACTAAGAAATGCCCTATGTAATAGCCAGTTCACCAAACAGGTCCTCTTTATGGAGACATCAGGGGTCTCCAAGACCTCTGATGTCACCTAGGGACCCCCAGAGAAGCTGATGAAGCAGAGATCTGCTATTTTATACCATTTTTTGGGGACACATAGAGCTTTCTTTTGGTGGTATTTATTCACCACTGGAGTTTTTATTTTCTACTATATAACAAAAAAAGTACCCTAAATTTTGAAAAAAATCATGTTTCCCTATAAAATGTTATGAAACATTTATTTTCACCCCAATTTTTTGGTATAATATAAAAGACGGGGTCACGTCGGGTAAATAGACACTAAACATGTCAACCTTTAAAATTGCGCATGCCTGCGAAATTGCAGAAAACGACCGCGACCAAAATTGGCCATAGGCGACGCTTCAAACGTTTTTACCGCTCATCAGTTTAGTGTTATCAGTGATTGATGGCCCTAGAATTAGTGCTCTCACTCCGACGTTCGCGGCGATATGTAACATGTGCTGCATAATGGGCGCAATCGTCGCTTGCGTGTGTATGTGGGGGGGCGGGGGACTTTAAAAAAAATGTTGTGTTATTTTTTTTAATTATTATTTGTGAATATTTTTTTTAGCTTCTCTATTTTTTTTAATGGTGTAATTTTTTTTAAAAACTTTTTTTTTTAGACTTAACTTTACTGCTATAACATAGGGGACTAAGAAATGCCCTATGTAATAGCCAGTTCACCAAACAGGTCCTCTTTATGGAGACATCAGGGGTCTCCAAGACCTCTGATGTCACCTAGGGACCCCCAGAGAAGCTGATGAAGCAGAGATCTGCTTCATCAGCTTCTCTCCGGTGTTCTGCACCGGAGAGTGACACTGAATGCAGGAAGTGATGTAATATACATCACTTCCTGCATTCGGGGACAGGAAGAGAGATCAAAGGGATGATCAAGTAATGATCTCCCTTTGATCTGCTGTTAGAGCGTCGCCGTGCCGGTCCCAGCCGCACCGGCCACATCGGATCACGGACCGGCAGCGGCGACGAGGAGACGGCGGGACATAGGTACGGGGGGGGGGGGCACACCCGCAACTCCTGCAAGCGATCGGGCGTCTCTAGAGACGCCTGATCGCTTGTATGTAAACAGCCATCGCTGGCTGTTTACATGCTCACAGTTTTCCCTCTCGTGTGCGCGCTGAGTGCCGCACACGAGAGGGGGGAGGGGCAGGACGTCTTAAGACTCCCTCCCGCTCCTAGCAGACTCCCGTCCAGCCGTTCACAAACGGCCATGGACGGAAGGTGGTTAAGAAAGAAGAAATTAAAAAGAACAGACCATTAAAAAAAAGTAAAACAAGTGAATAGTACATAGCTTCCTGAAAACATCACAGCACCCTGCCTAAGTGATCCTCCTCACATGCCCTGATACAAGCAGTGGGCTGGCTCTTGGAAAGCATTATACACACGGCATTCAAAGCTGCGGCTGGGTATTTAGTAGTCAAGAAACTGCTGATTTTTGCAGCAGGAATCCCAAGTGTGTCCCTATAGATTCGGCTGCTGTGGCAATTCAAATTAATGACAGGCCGACATCGGCTGCATCTGTTCGTGGCCGTCTGCATGTAATCTTACATGTAATGATCGCAACAGATGCCGTCCCTGGACGCAGACAGATTGCATCTATGGACAAGCATCTCTCCCTATATGCAGTTAATCGTTCATGGGGAGCGGATCGGGTGTATTTAGTAAACTTCAAGGTCCACTTTAATGGGAGCCTTTGTGTGCCCCATCAGAACCCAATTCCCTTTGGCCCCTTTCACACAGGCTGATCCCCTCCAGATCAGAGCAGTACGGAGCGGATGTTACCGTTGTGACATCCATTTCCATCCAGTTTTTACCTCCATCTTGTAATGGAGGAAAAAACTGAAGTTATCGGACCTCATGTCTGTCTTTGGGGAATCGGGTGTAAATGGACATGTGTCATTTTACATAAGATTACCCCCGATCTGGCACGATCAGGTCCGGCAAAAGCATCCCTGATCCCTTTTTTTTCCTGACCTATCTGGAACCAGGGGTGACTGGGTGTAAACGGACGCTCATCCGTTTAGACATGGCTGCCCATAGACTAACATTGGGCACCCAATCAGGTCAGCCTGAAAAACTGACAGGCGGACCCGATCAGACCGCATGCGTGAAAGGGGCTTACAGTTTTATTCTTACTGTGTACTATTTTTTTTTCAGCTTGCATTGTGGGTGCTGTGTTTTTTTTTTTTTTAAGCATTACCTATTGCTCACAATTCAACATTGACGTGAACCTTGTAGGGTACCCTTTACCATAGCATTACAGAGAGAAAAATGTTCCTTGAAAGCTTGCCTGGACCAGTTTAATAAATAGGGCATCAGAATGATCCATGGTAATTGTAGCACTTAGAAAATAAATATTTCCTCTTGTCATACCAGGAGACCTGATATTTCCTTACATTACCTCCTTTGTTAGTGTATCGCTCTCTTTATTTATGGGAAAACTGCATGCTGCTGCCATTTCACGTCCGGAAAATCGCCGCTCTGCTGTAGGCTTTCTGCGCCTGTTAGGACAGGTGCACCTACTGTTAAGCGGGCTTAAATGTCAAGAAAAATGCGTAATCAATGTCCTGCTTTACCTTCCTTATGCATTGTTATGCTTTGTTGTTGTTGTTATTAGTGCTGTACATAAATTGCTTGAAACATTTTACATTGCGTGTTCCCAGATTAAATATGGATTGTATATTGCTGGGCTTTGAAATGGAAATGTCTTTTGTGACAAACATTCTACTTTCTGCATTTTATTATGATCAATATAGAGTTACTACATTTTTCTGTATTTGTTTGTTTTGACAAAGCTGTGGAAAGTGGACCGGAGGACCTTGTGAGGCTGTTGTTGAAATATAAAGCAAATGTGAATGGACCGCATTCTTGTTCTGGGTGGAACCCTCTACACCAAGCTTCTCTTATGGTAAGCTGCAATCTCTACAAAAATGGCATTTAAAGCCGAACGCCAAAATGTTAGAAAACAATGGGTAAAGTGACCCTGTCACAGCTTTAAAAATTACAGGTAAATAAATAAAAGAATGCTTACTTGCAGTGTATATCCTTTCTATAAATTATGCTTTTCTCTTGCAATGTGCCTTTAAGTTTCCTAGGGAATTTGACCACTCCAGGAAGAATCAATTCCCTAGCACAGCTACAGCTCATTGCATGTAATAGACCTGTCCTTATCTCCAGTGTGTAATTACTGTCCATGTCCATGTTGACCCAGCTCCTCTACCCTTACCTCCTTACGTAACCTTTTATGTAGCAAAACCGCAAAGGTGTGAACAGCCTCCATTGACTTCAATGCAAATCTTGTGTTTTGAGCAATATCGCGCGACTCAATCCAAATATCATTATGATATGATTGTTTAGGCCCGGTGCAGACCTGAGAGATCCGGGATTCCGCAGTCCTGCACAATTGCAGACAGCCCCATTGATTTCAATGGGGTACATTCGTGCGGCAATCGCAAAAAAAAGGTACAAGTAGGTTTTGCGATACACAACGTGCGGCTGTTTTATCCACCCGGCACAACTGGGGTCCTATTAAAAAATAGTGGCACCCACAGCGCGATCGTCTGTGATGGGCGACTCCGTGACAGATCGCCCAGGTGTGCACCGGCTCTCAAAATGTTTTCTAGGGGACCAACAATTCTGTCCCGCCTATTTAAGAATATCTTTGTAGAAATAACAATTATTTATATCTGTCAAAAAAAATCAAGGCAACTGAACTTGCTGTATTTTTCTTGAAGACAAAGAATTCTCATTCTGAAATTGAAATAAAAAAGCTGGTCGGCTGACCAGCAAAACATTTGCAAGAAAAATACAGCAAGTCCAGTTGCCTTGATTTTAGGGATGTCCAGATACAAGGTCAGATACCAGTGCCGATACTTGGCATTTTCACAAGAACTACTAGGGTTGCAGCGGTTGCAGCTGGAACCTAGCTCTGGCGTCCCACCACTGTCCTGAAATCATTAATCGATATTGTTTTAGAAAAACTGTTGCACGACAATAAACAAAAATGTATCAGTACTTGTACTTGAAAAACTGGTATCGGTGCATCCCTTATATATATTTATTTAAAAAAAATCATACATTAAAACAGCGATGCACAAATCCCAGAAGCTTTTGACTTTTTCTCTAGTCTAGTCTTGGAGCTGGAAAAGTATCTGTACTTGTACCGAGTACTGTACTTGGTATCTGAACATACCTACTTGATTTATTTTTGATAGAGATACCATGATCTGGATGATTGAAAGACTTTACAGACAACAAACATTTACCTCTTCAAACACTTGCTTTGCTTTTTTTTCACGTACCAAAGGCATGCAGGTATACCTGAGACAATTGCTTTTAATATCATCAGTTTTCAGGAGGAATGAAGAAGTGTTTCGTTGATCTGTAAGGGTACCAACAAATTTGTCCACATTTTGATTTTTTGCACTTATTAAACACCTTCAAATGGTATATTTAACAGACCAAAGCGGAGCATATAACAAAAGTTCACTGAAATTCTTTACACAGTCAGTTCAGTAAGTGTTAGTTTAGCACATAGATAAATCTTAAGTAGCTGTGCATTCTTTACCTTTCACAAGAATAAGCTGTTTAAAGTCCAGCTCCAGGCAGATATAAAAAACACCAATTACTGCAACGATGTATTGAATAAAAAATATTAAACTTATTTTTAAATACATTCCATGTAAGTACCTTAATTTGCCTCATAAAAGAACTCCAGGCAACACTTTTATTGACTTTTGATTAAGGGTTAACTGCTTGGGTTTGTCTAGGTGCTATAAAAAGTTATACTCACCTGAACCGCAGAGCCGGCTTGCTCTTAGACCGGTCCCTGGAGCCTCTCTGCCCCTCCGCTGGAGCGGTCTAAGGTCCTTTAAATCATCATGTTCTATACACAGTGGAGGGAATGTATCAAAATTTGCACTGCAACCAATCAGCTTCTCTGTCTCATTTTCAAATCTCAACTGAGCAAACTGAAGAGAGATGCTGATTGGTTGCCATGGGCAACTGCTCCAGTTTTGATAAATTCCCCCAATTGTATAGATGTATAGACACTGAGGAACATTCCAAAGCTGCAGTATAAGAGGAGAGGGCTCAGAGACCTGAGAAGCAGGGAGCTGGCTCAGCAATTTGGGTGAGTATAACTTTTTTTAACACCTAGACAAAAATGAGCGGGTAGCCCTACTGCAAGAGTTAATAAACGTTTTGCCGGAGTTTTTCTTTTTTTCTTTAATATCACCCTTATTTGATCCCCTGCACAATAGCAATCAGATTAGGACCAGGGGCCAATCAGGCTCTAATACTTGCACATGTGTTGATAAGGAACATGTTGACAGGAGGAGAGAGGTAGCCTCAGCAGCGTTCTGCTCCTTCACTGTCCAGTTACAAGCTGGGGGCAGGGAGGTTCCCTAGCTGTATTGCTTAAATGCAGTAATGTCAGGTCACTTACCTGGCTGTGTGTTCTGGCAGGGCTATGTACATCTCAGGTATAGTTGGACAGGAATACAAATCGTTTAGGGGGTAAGACAGCTCCTGTACACTTGTTTCAGCTGCCTATTTTATTGTTTGCCTGAAGTTTAGCCTTAAGTGCTCCACAATTCCCATGAATATTTTTTTAGCTCCCCCTCAACTTGCTTTATTTTCTGATCTCCTTTACGGACACCTCATAGAACTTCACAGTTAACAGAAGTCAGAAACTAACAGTATTTTTAGGGAAGTGAAAATCAGTGTGGCAGTTGATTGTTGCATTGAAAATACCCCAATGCTGGAAGCATACATGGTAAAGTCAGCTGCCCTATGCAAGAAATTCTTTAGTCAACTATTAAAAATATTTCATAAAAATTAGCAGATAGATCAAAGGAATAAAAATACCTCGTGTATCACACATTTGTACATGGACTCCTACAAGTCTTCACTTCAGTTTCTTCTTTCTGTTATATCAGGAACGTACAGACCTCATACAGCTACTCCTGGAAAGTGGTGTAGACAGAGAGTGTGAAGACGACTTTGGCATCAGACCTTTGTTCATTGCGGCACAATATGGAAAATATGAAAGTTTACACCTACTTTTATCACATGGTGAGTGATGATTTTTGATGAAACTATGCAATGGAGTTTATTCCAGATCTGTATTTATGGAAGGATCAATATTTTGTATAGTTTTATAGTCCTCTATAAAGCTTCTGTTCACTGTTCCTACCAGGCACATGCCTCATAGAGTTCAGAGGAACATGTGCTTTATACTGTATTATATTACTATTACTACTAACTAAAGTATAGGAAAGAGCTTTGGTACAGGGACACATTTCACATCACATTTTGGGCTCCCTCATGTAACTTTATTATCAGCCTGTCATGGCCTGGAGGGGCCTAGAATGGCCTGCACTAGCACTTTCCTAACCGTGGCATGTGAAGAGGCACATTTTGTACATTGGTTAGCTACTGTGCCATTTGATCTTAAAGCAGTAAACCTAAAAACATTGCCAACTGCTACAAATGAGAGTTTTTTTAACAGAATGGACACATCAATTCTCTTCTGCCAAAAAACAGCTACTTCTAACGTCTATTAGTTTTGCTCTATTGTGTGTAAAGTGTACGGCACATGTACTACCCCCAGGTCCTTCCCAAGCATCTGCAGTGGGAATCAAGCCAAGTGCCGAGGATGGTGTAACTGCTGTGCACATGCACAGGAGTTACATCATTACAGGCAGTCCAATGGTCGGACAGAAGGAAGCGGACCCAGAAGAAGCAGAGGAAGATATGGCGGTGGCAGCAGTGAACAGGTTATATAATTACAGGCAGTTCAATGGTCAGACAGAACGAAGGGGACCCAGAAGAATCAGAGGTAGATATGGCGGTGGCGGCAGTGAACAGGTTACATCATTACAGGCAGTCCAATGGTCGGACAGAACTAAGGGGACCCAGAAGAATCAGAGGTAGATATGGCAGTGGCGGCAGTGAACAGAGTGGCAGTGATGGAGCAGATCAGTCAGCACTGGAGGACAGCACAATTGTCAGGTAAGTGTGCCATGATTTGCAACTATGCTGTGCATGCTTGCATATTATGGTAAGAGCCCACCAGCTACTGCAGACTTTACTTCCGCTTTAATGGCACCACAACACCTGGTAATTCATTAACGTGGGTTGTGGTGATCTGCGTTACGAAAAAAAAAAAACATGCTTCTTTTTTAGTGTGATAGGTATCTCTTTCAGATGAATGGGCTGCCTTAACTTAACACATGACATAACGTGCGTCATCACATGACACAGCCTTAAAATGGCGTTGGAAGTGTTAAGCTTTGCCAACCAGAATAGTTGCTCTTGATGCCTGTATTTCATCTGTGTATTTAGCTCTTAGCCAAGATTTCAGTTTTAAATCATCTGTATTAGAAAAGTTATCTAATACATTTTTACTTCCTAAGCCTGGCATTCTCTTTTAGTGTTATGTTTGGTAAGGACATATTGTCTAGAAACAGTCCATGTCTGAGATGCTTCTGTAGCTAGACATAGCTCTTTAGAAAGTTCCCCCCACCATGAATATTTTAGGTGCTGGTATGCATAATTAATGTCTTCTTCTTCCACGCAAATGGCTTGCTTGTTTTCACAGCTGCTAGCTACTTGTTCTATTTATTTTTTATGGCTTGCATTAAATACAGAGAGTCGCCACCGTTAGCTTCATGTTTAAAGTTAGAAAGTTTATTCTTTTTTTTTAAATGTATATAATGTGTGGCTAGGCAGGGCGTCAGTCAGTTTCATATGCTGTCTTTGGGTATCATACATACAAAAACAATAAAGGTGCTGGTCTTATAATATGTATTTTATTTACTTACATCCACCATTATTTTCCACCATATAGGATAGGGTTAAAAACCACCAGCACTGTCAAGTAGTAGAGCAGCCTTTCTCAACCAGGGGTGCCTTCTGTGGTGCCTCGAAATTTTCACATCGTCATGCCTCCAATAAGAAGAGTGCTCCTGCTGTGAAGAGGGGCTCCTAATAAGAAGGTGGGCTGTTGATATAAAAGGGAACTCTGATGCAAAAGGGGGATTCGGATGTGAAGCAGAATGTGAACCCCACACTTTTTTTTTTTTTGCTTGGGGTTTCCCCTTAAAAACCATACCTGGCCTCTTATCTTGGATAAGGGTCTGGTATGGATTTTGGAGGGGCAAAACATCATTTTTTTAATATTTACAGTTTGTATATTTTACAATGGGGTGCCTCTGCATACTTTTAAAGGGTGCCGTGACTGAAAAAAGGTTGAGAAATGCTGAAGTAGAACACCAAGAACAATTTGGTTGCCATTAAAGTTAAACTCCAGTTTTATATTAAAAAAAAAGCCCCCTCCAGGTCGAGCATGTATAGTATTTCAATAAACCTTTTTTTTCCCCAGATGCTTACCTGCTCCTGTTCTCCAGATATACACATAACGCATATGCATAATAAGTGGGAGGATCTGAAAATAAAAGTTAAATCATTCTTAGCGAACATTGCAAACACTTCTTGCTATTCCAGTCACACATGCAGCACTTTTCTCAAGTATCTCACCAAAGAGGACTACTAGGGCTGCAACTAATGATTATTTTCATAATCGATTAGTTGGCCAATTATTTGTTTCAATTAATCGGATTTAAAAAAAAAACAAATACTGTACCATTCTTAATTTAAAATAAAATACACAAATAGAGTGGACTGCATGCACAATGTTTTTGCAATTGCACTGCAATGCACGGCATTACGGTTCCGTGCGCTCCAGTGTGGGTGAGTTTAGGGTGCCGTTGAAATGAATGGCACTGCAACGCACCTCCCGCAGCAGAATTTGTCAGGCCGAAATCAAAAATGACTTTTTTCACACCTTTTTACATTGAAAAAAATAAAATAATTGTATGTATTATATAAGACATTTTCATTAGCTTTATGGATTTAAAATAATCTAGATTGAAAAACTCCAAGCCAATATATTAAAATAACTACATTTTTAAAATAACACTAAAGTTAGACAAAAAATAAAATGATATATAAAATAGTTCTCCTTCAGGTCCGCTCCTCTGATTGACAGTAGTCAGTGGGTGGGTGCAATAGCAATCATGCTAATGCCATTTGAAATAACCAATAGGAGGCTGGCTTTTGCGGGGGGGGTTGCAGAGTCACAGCGGCGTTAGCTGACAGCCGGTCTGTGTCCCCTCCGATCCCCTCTGCCCCTGCCGATACAGGTGGGGGAGAGCAGCGGGTATCAGAGGGGACACAAACCGCAGCATGCAGCAGGCTCCCTGGGGGCAGAAGAGACCAGAGGAGGAGTAGTTGGGGGAGCACTCCTCACTGCTAGGCACTGGCTGCAAAGGTCTGTGTCTCCTCCAATCGGAAAGCAAGTTAATGCTTTCAATTTATGTATTGCCTGGAGCTCTACATGCAGTATATTGCTCATACATGAACTTATCTTTTGCTGTCTTGCTCCTTTAAGGCTCCATTTACGAGCATGAGTTATAACACTGTCAAGTGTAAAACTTATTATCCCTGAATAAAGATTAAAACGGAACCATAAGGATACTGAATTGTTCTGAATATTGTCCACATAGAAGCCATGTTTCCCATTCATGGGAAAAACTCCCATTTTTCATAACCAGCTGGACTGTATAATTAATTGGGCAATACATGGAAGGCACGAAGCCCTTCGCGCAAGCCAAGCCTCTGCCCTTCATAAACACTTTGGCAATTGGTGCACGAATGAACATTCACAGTTTTATTCTGTTGACACAAAAAATTGCTATGTATTTTATTGATCAGCATTGTTGAAAGTACATGGCTGCCATCCAGGTGCACATCACCATTATTCCTGGGCTCAAAGCAAACAAAGATAAGACTAAGTGACTGAGAGACTGGAAACAAGTCTAGATTAAGGGGCCTATTTGCTAACTGGGATATTTGCATACAAATAGAATATCAAATTAGCATCAGTGTGCTCAGAATGTACAGTATGTTTGAATCAGCCTTTCCTTGGTACTGGGAAGCTGTAAGTTTTACTTAAAGCATAGCTATGCATAGTGTGATTTTTGAGAGCTATGTGGCCAGTAGGACAGTAACAGATTTTGATGTAGCTTCCACCTCTAAGAACTGATAAGCTGCAATATATTACATTTCTGGTTTTGGGTTTAGATGCCATTTAACGTACTGTATACATGTGTTGCCATTTATTCTGAAACGTACCCTGATACACGTGAGCAGTTTGAAAAGAATGAACCTGCATTTCAATGCATGTCAACACATGTATGTAAATGTGCATGTGGTACGCTGTGTTGTCCAAAAGCAGTACAGGTCAGTTTTTTTGGTGCCTTAGCACAATGCATATCAACACACAAAGAAATGCATGTTCACACACTCATAGGTGTGCATAGAGTTCCAATATTTATGTATGGAGTGCAGTGCAAATTGATATTCAGTTGACATTGAACATCAGTAGGTTAAACAATTTGTTGGCTATTTTATATCACATACTCCAATGTTGAGATTTTCCTGCATAATTTAAGTTGCCGTCGCTGGCATGGGCCTTAGCAAACATATCCTAAATCCTTTATGTATTCTCTTTTATAGGGAATCTGTTTGAATGATAGAACTTTTGAGGAATTCTGCTGGGGATATATCTACACTGTAGTGCTTAAGAGATACAAGAAGCTAACATGTGATTAATTTGGGCAGTCCGATTAATTTTGGTACTCTCTCCCTTAGTGAATAGCATTTGGCGCCCCAAAGAATTACCTCTCTTTGGGGTAACTTAAAGTGACATTAAACCCTCAGATTTTTTAACATAAACCAATACTGTAATGTGTGCCTTACTGTAATCCATGGTAGTTTCCCTTCTCTTTGCTGCTCTTCCTTTTAAATCCTTATGTCTTCTCATGCTGGGGGAGAAATTCCCTTTGCAGCTGAGTGCCTCTTCCTGTAGTGCTGGCTCAGGTTGCAAACCTACACACAGACACCCTGGGGTTGATTTACTAACCTTATAAACACGCCACAAACAAGTATACACCTCTGTAGTGTGTTCCCTCCCAGCATGATCTATTGGTGGAATCTAGACACCTTTGTAG